AATAGCCCGACCCAGCACAAGCAAACCTAGCACAGTTTGAAGTCTACCTTGCGACCTGCGGCGGAAGGCTCACTTCAGATGGACGTCTGCAAAATGCCGTCAATGTGTAAGTAAACGTTCGAAAGCTCACCCTCCAGGACTTCCAGCTTGAAGCACTTCACCAAACCCGGAGGTCTCTTGCAGGCCAGGAATGCATACGCCTCGATCTTCTGCTTGTAGGACTCATAGGCCAGGTGCCAGGTGGCTCCGTCCTGGGAGCACCAGATCCGAAAAGATGCCGAGGCCGGTACCTTCAGCTTCTCATCAACCTCTCCGAAGAACAAGCGCTGAAGATGAACCAAAGCATGGGGCAGCTGCCACTGCACCCACCCTGTCCGGAGGTTGAAAGCTGTGCGCCCAATGGTCATGCCTCGAGCTGCTCCCTGTAGGCCAAGCCCTGCTCAGGCGCCAGGATCATCACTACCCAACAACCCGCAAAGACGCCCTGACTCCCGGTCTCCATGTAGCGTTGATAGAGTGTTTCCAGAACGTCATCCGTGGCCTCGTTACGTGCTCGGATGTTGATAACCGATTGCAGGGAGTCACCTTCCTCGGTGTCCCATCTCCGGAGAATCTCCTTCAGGGCATCCGGTTCGCTACACAGCAGGCCTGAGCCCAGGATCTCCTCCAAGAGCTCCGGCCGGAGTGCCGGACGCTCTTTCAGCGCTTCTTCCGGGTACGCATTTCAGCCACATGAAAGCGGTCTGCTAAACCGAAAACCTCGCAGGCTTCTTCAGGTCTGAGCGTCTTCCGCAGAAGCCGCAAGCACAAGGGAGGCAGGGCCTCCATCTGCCACCTCCACCAGAGCTGTGACGGGGCCCTCAACGCTCGCAGAGTACATGAAGCGCAGGAAGATCTCGACAGCACAAGCCGAGAAGTCTTCAATGTCGACCTCCGCCCGCTGCGACTCGGCGTAGCTATGCGATCCTACCATCCTCTCAAAGACAGGAGACCACTTCGCAAGGAGGAAAGACCACACCCTGAACTCCGTACGTTGGAACATTGCCTGAGTATCCTTTGCACTGTCAAGCACGTGCCCAGATCGCCTGCGCTTCTTAGGATTTGCCTCCGTGTGAACCTCCAGATCACGGGAAGTGTCATCCGAGATTTCGTCCACGATGACCGTAAAATCGCCGCCCTCGCCGAAGCATGCCGGCAGCACGCCAGAAAGGGAATTGAGATCCTCTGCTGTCTGAGCCATGACTCTATTGCCGCTATTGCCCCATCCCTCACAAAAACCATATGCACATACCTCTTCGAGATTCTCATTAAAGCTGGGCTTGAGTTGCCTGAAGGTTTGAAGCTCAGGAATCCAAGCATCGGCAAGCAGCAACCGGGCTTTGGATTTCTAGGATTTCTAGGGTTGAGGTTTCAACGTCTCAAATTGGCTATCGACAATGCTGTCATCCGCAAAGTCGTCAGACCATCCAGCGAAAAGAATCTAAACTGAAGCTGAACAAGCCTGAAAACCCTAAACCCTAAACCCTAAACCCTAAATCCTAAACCCCTAAACCCGAAAGAAGCCCTAATAAGCCCCAAGAGTCCCAAATATGAAAACCCTGAACCATCCTAAACCTGAACCTGGACGGTTTAGGGCTTAGGGTTTAAAGTTTCGGGTTTAGGGTTTAGGGTTTAGGGTTTCGGGTTTAGGGTTTAGGGTTAGCAAGCCGTCACCAAGGCTCTGTTCATCCAACCCTGGCCTCAATGCTATGTGACTTCTAACTCCATGTCCGAGGGGCTGAATTAATTGAAAATTATGGTAGGATTGCATACACCCCCAAAGGCTAAAGGTTAACCCCATTAATGGGGATGCAAAAACCCACTGAAGGTGAAGGGGAACCTATTGAGCAGTCGAGTGCTGACATTCCTTGTTTCCTACCAGTTCTACAGAGCTGCCATGCGCCTGGACAAGCCTTAATTGGGTCCAAGTATCTATAGTAATCATCGACTCTCCCAAATAGCAACTACTACCCGAAAAAAAAGTACCTAACCATTGGGTCCTTCGGACCCGTACGGAAAGGCCTCGAGGACTTTGCCAAACTGTTGCTCCACCTGGGCGGCCTCAGTCGGTGAGTGAAGGCTTGCGCACCATCATGTGCGTAGTTCACCCTAAACCCCTAAACCCTAAACCCTAAACCCAAGGTCACCTTTAGGTTTCAAAGATACTATGGCGAAGAAGAGGCCCTCAAAGGTACTCTGATTTAGAAAACCACCCATATACCCTAAACCCTAAACCCATATAGTTCTGAGTCTGTTGCAAAGCCAAGAAGAAGTCTTACTTGCACGGTTACGTCCCCAGACCATGCCCTCGGGTAAGGTTTAGAGTTTTAGGGTTTAAGGTTTAGGGCTTTAGGGTTTTAGGTTTTAAGGCCTACAGGGTTTAGGGTTTTAGGGTTTTAGGGTTTAAGGTTCTACAGCAAGGTTCTGTTGAGAAGCCGCTAGACAGGTGGCTGATGGCTGTGCGCAGCTTCGGTATGGAAGAGAACCCAATCCCCCAAGAGTCTTCCAACCTCTTCCGCAATCGACCCCTGCGAAGTCCCAGGAAAGCCACAATACCGTGTATTCCATGGAGGCTTATGAGCCAAGTCTAAACCCCTGAAGCCATATCCCCTAAACCCTAAAACCTAAGGGCCCGAATGCACATATAGTATCGACTTTGGGCCTTAAAATGCTCCATTTGTATGTACTTTGTTAAGGGCAAAGTATATACTATACATGAGTACATGGACCCTTATGCCCTCAACCCTACACCCCTATGATACCCTCATCCTGAAAGATGGACCATTAGAGCCTTAGGGTCATATATACCCACACTTAAGCTTAGGGGGCTGAGCACCTTGGCCCGAAAAAGGTTAACCTCTTGAATTTTAGGGTTTAGGGTTTAGGGTTTAGGGTTTATAGGGTTTAGGGTTTAGGGTTTAGGGTTTTCTAGTAGGACTATGCAAGCCCCAAAAGGCCAAAAGGTTGAAGGTTACCTACTCAACCCCTAAGCAAAGCCTCAACCCGATAATACCACCGAAAGTCGCCAACATCGCCACCAGCCGGGGACGCCAAGAGCCGAACCGGAGCTCGGGAAGGTAGGGCCCAAAGGCTTAGGGTTTAGGGTTAAAGGTTTAGGGTTAAAGGTTGTATATATGGGTAGTTCCCTACATTGGGGTCCAGTTTTAGGTCCCCAAACTAGTACGGAACCCTGGACCCCCAAAGGGACCCTAGATAAGCCCTAGACACGCCAGAGAAACCCAAACTCAATCTTGCATGTGCCCCAAACCCTGAAAGCGCAGTCCCATCGGCCGAAATGCACTCAAACACGCTTGAGAATCAGTAAGTATGCCAGCCGTCGATGCTCCTGGTGACAGTTGAGCCGTAGCTTTCTGCCGCACTTCCCACCCAAAACCAAATAACGTAGGGGCCAGACTAGGGTTTTGGGGTATATTATACAATATTATAAATATATATAAATATATAAGGAACCAGCACAGATATTTATTCAGGCCCCTAAATTAGAGAAGCGACGAAACAAACGTGTTCAACTGAGAGCTGGATCCGAGATCCACGCTCTGGCCGCAGTGCCCTGGCTTTTTTTGTAAAAAGGGAGGACTCTAGAGCGACCTGAAGAATTCGATCAGGGCTTTCGGTGCAATGATGCTGGATTTGTTGTAGGAATGTCAGGTACACCAGCGCTACACCCTGGGCAGTTTGATGAAGATAGCTCCCAAATCATCCAGTAGTACTGTACATGATGTGAAAGAACTAGGGCTGCCGGCGGCCCGCAATCTGCTTAATCTTTCAGTAAACACTGCTCGAGGAATGAGGTGTTCTTGAAGTCATATTCGGGACAGTATCATGCTTTAAGGCCTTTCCTTTATCAAAGCATACTGCAAGATCTGGGTTCACCTGAGTCGCAGACGAGGATGGGCAGCTTGACGACATGTTCAGGTTCAACGCTTGAACACGAAGACCTGGACCTTAGCCTGCACACGGGGATTTTGGGTGCGAAACACTTGGTTCCCACTCCTCTGCGGCCAAATGCAAGATGGTTCTCTCGCACTTCTGTGTGAGAATTTGCATGGGTAGCTCTGAACTACTGGTTGCTGGCTTCGAACCCAGCGTGAAGCACAACTCGCAAGGCATAATCTGCTCTTCTTCCGACTTTGAAGGGGTGTCTACCTAGAGGCGCTGTAGTGCCGTAGTAATTAGTTTCTCTTTGGGATTCGCTAATAGGATCCTAAATCTAGGCCACAAAAAAAGGAACTACTATGGGGCGTATGGGTAAAAGTGTGTTTTTTTTGTGCTTTGCTGCAGATGTGCCGAAAAGCACGTGAAAGGCTTCCCTAAACCCTAAACCCTAAACCCTATCTTGGATCTCCAGACTTCCTGAACATGCGCCGTGTCCCCGACTCATTGCAGTTAGGCGGAGCACACCCAGAATACTGAGTCTGCCTTCTAATCTCACTTCAGATGGGCGTCTGCAAAATGCCGTGGATGTTGAAATAAATGTCAAGAAGCTCACCCTCCAGGACTTCGAGCTTGAACCACTTCACAAGGCCTGGAGGTCTCTTGCAAGGCAGGAAGATGTTGTCTTTGATCTCCTTCTTCTGCGACTCGTAAGCAATGTGCCAGGTTGCGCCGTCGTCGTCGGACTTCGCATGAATCCGGAAGGATGCCGACGCCGGTATCGTCTCACTAAAGTCAAAACCCTGAAGATGAACCGAGGCATTTGGAAGCAGCCACTGCATCCACCCCTTTCGGAGGGTAATGGTGTCTGCATTGCCCGCTACACGCTCGAGCTGGTCAGCGGTGTATTTGTCCTGCCCAGGTCCCACGATCACCGCCACCCAATAGCCCACAAAAGCACCGTTCATATCGGCATCCCGCCACTTACCCATGAGCCTGTCCAGCACATCTTCGGCGTACTCGTTGTTTGCTGGGATGTTGATGATCGATGCTAGGGAGTTGCAGTCCTTCCCTCCCCAGCTTTGGACGGTCTTCTTCAAAGCATCTGTCTTTGTGCACAGCAGGCCTGAGCCCAGGATCTCCTCCAAGAGCTCCGGCCGGAGTGCCGGACGCTCTTTCAGCGCTTCTGCCGGTTTGGCGAAGATGCAATCGAGCGCCTCTGCTCGCATCTCAGCCACATGGAAGCGGTCTGCTAAACCGAAAACCTCGCAGGCGACATCAGGTTTCAGCGCCTTCCGCACAAGATGCAAGCACAAAGGAGGCAATGCCTCAACCTGATACTTGTCTGCAATGGCAGCTACTTCCACCATAGCTGTGATGGAGCCCCCCACGCTCCCAGAGTACAAGAAGCGCAGGAAGATCTCTACTGCACTGCTCGAGAAGTCTGTGATGACGACCTGCTACTCCCGCGACTCGGCATAGTTGTCCGAGTTCAACATCTTCTCAAAAACGGGAGACCACTTCGCAAGGAGTGTAGACCACACCCTGAACTCTGTGCGTTGTACCGTTGCCTCAGCGTCCTTTGCACTGTCCAGCACGTCGGCCCCCGAGCGCTTGCGCTTCTTGCGCTTTGCCTCCCCCTGAGCGTCCTCCCCGTGCCCCTCAGTGCTACGCGACAACTCTTCGACGATGATCGTGAAGTTGCCGTCCTCGCCGAAGCATGCCGCCAACACCCGTGTGAGAGAATCCAGATCCTCCGCCGTCTCAGCCATGACTTGGCTGAGGCCAACAAGTTGTGCCTGCAAACCCTGTAACCAAACTCTACCCTAACCCTCCAGGTGCCTACCATATAGGGCCCTAGGGGCTCCAGTGCCCTATGTGGTAGGGTACCTGCGGGGTTAGGGCTAGTTCTCAAGGCCCCACCCGAATATTGAAAAATCCTGACAGAACCCTCACGAATCCAGAAGCTGGGCAAATGTCGCTCTAGAATCTCGAGCTGAGGAATCCCAGATCCGGCAAGCAAGGACACATGCTCAAACATCACCGGGAAGCCCCTCAGCAAAGGCCTTCTACGGGGTTTAGGGTTTAGGGCTTAGGGTTTTACATACCTGACAAACCCCAGTCTACTTCATTGGATCTGCATGGTTTTGTTCAGCCAATGATGACCTCAACACGATGCGAGCATCAGCTCAACAGCTGCTTGCTGAAAGAAACCCACTGGCTGCGGAACCCATCAGGCCCAAAGGGTCCAAGTGCTAGTATAGTATACACTGTTGGGGCCCAAAACCCTTTGGGCGGGTGCTCTAATCGCCTGTTTCGTACCGTTCTACACAATCGCGAGCACACACACACACACACACACACAAAGGCCTCAAGAACGCTGCCAAATGCTGCTCCACCTGTGCGGGCTTGGCATGTCGGACGGAGTGACGTCTTGCAGATCCCATGGCTCAAGAGAACTGAGCAGGGCTTAAGGCTGAGGCTTAAGAGGTTTGCAGGTTCGGGTTCTCTAAGGTTTCCAGGTGGAAACGAGGTAGAGTGAGAGCAGGGTTCAGGATGTGGGGTTTGGGGGCCTGGATTTAGGCGAAGATTGGTAAATCAAAACTGGGCTATATATGAAGACATGTTCAGAAGATGATACCGGGGCAATAGACGATAGACGAGGCTCAGATCGTGCAAGGGCTTTTTAAGTGCTTCGAGGGCAGAGTGATTTCGAGTATGTTTTGTGTCCCAAGCGCAAAACGCCAAACCGCATCAGAAACTATTGGTGTCTCGGTGGTGGCCTACCATGCAGGGTATAAGGCTTACAGCTCAGGCTTTACAATTTCGGGCTCAGCATTTCTGCAGTTTTCTGGGCATGGGGATTTCAGGGTTTTCGAGTCGACCTCGTAGCATCAGGGGCCCTAAATCATGTACAACCATTAGAACATTGTATTTGAAAACTCTCAGCGAGCCTCAAACTGGTTCGACACCTTTTCCCACCCTATCCAATCCAAAGTGAAATTGAAACTCTATCTAAATTGCCGAGCCCGATCAGACCAGCGAACCCTTTACAAAAGCCTCGACCATTGTATCCATCCTTCCTTACGTTTCACCTTCCTTACGTTTCACCTCGCAGAGCCCAAATCGACCGTGAACCTGCATTTTCATCAAAGCACAAAAGCCATCAACACTGCTACGACGAAGCGAAGGACACTTTGGAACACGGGGCGTGTCCGAGGTCCATGCGTCTGGCTGCAATGCTCGCCCTGGCAGCCGCAACGAAATATAATGAATTACAGGGACATACCAACGACAGACGTGGCCAGCTATGCAACCAGTGGTTTCGCGGTGGACTCGACTGTAGATTACGTTCTGCTACATGGGCAGATGGGGAGCACTCAGCGGAAAACAAGGGCAAGGATGGCTTTTGGGGTTTAATTCCAAGATAGTCGTAAATATGGCAACACACGACTACTGCAGACTAGTACAAGTGCAACTATAACTATAAGCCTACTTATAATCGGCTTACTACCCCTAAACCCTAAACCCTGGACCCTGAATCCTAAACCCTAAACCCCCTGGGCCTCTATGTAGGACCTTCGGCAACTGAGCTTCTCACTGGCCCAAAACCCAAGGAAACAAAAGTTGAAACTTTCAGAATCGACTACCTTATAAGAACCCCAAGAGTTGAAAAGTTGAGTTTACAGCCAATAAGGCTTTAACAGACCATAGAGCTTCGGTCCTCGTCTGCCCCTGCCAGCGCGCTCGCTCGGCTTTTTCCGCGCGTTGCGACACTCTCATATATACAGAAGGTGACAGGACCATGTCATATACTGTGATATTATCCCGCAAGCTCAAAATAGCCCAAAGAATATGAGTCCTTAGAGCCTAATGGTATCAGTCTACAGCCCATGAAACTCAAAAGCCCAACGGAAGCAGACGGCACACACCTTGAACTCTGCCTTCTCCGATCTGCGGCGGAAGGCCACTTCAGACGGACGTCTGCAAAATGCCACGGATGTTGAAGTAAAAGTCGGCAAGCTCCCCCTCCAGGACTTCCAGCTTGAAATACGTCACCAAGCCCAGAGGCCTCTTGCAGGCCAGGAAAGTGCCACCTTTGATCTCCTTCTTCTCCGACTCGTAAGCGAGGTGCCAGGTCGCGCCGTCTTCGGAGCACCAGATCCGGAAGAATGTCGCGGCCGAGATGTTTCCTCCCAAAGTGAAGGAAAACCCCTGAAGATGAACTGAGGCATGGGGCAGCCGCCACTGCAGCCACCCTTTTCGGAGGGTAAGTCGGAGAGAATTCGAGGCGAGGCCTTCGAGATTTTCTCGGGGGAAGGCCGCCCCCGGCTCCAGGATCACCGCCACCCAAGAGCCCACAAAAAGGCCCTTCCTCCCGGCCTTTATGTAGCGCTCCCAGAGCGCGTGCAGCACATCGCTCGTATGCTCACCCTGTGTTCGGACATTGACCATTGATGCCAGGGAGTCCGTGTCGTCGGTGCCCCAGCGTCGAAGCATCTCTTTGAGAACATCTCCTGATATGCACAGCAGGCCTGAGCCCAAGATCTCCTCCAAGAGTTCCATTCGGAGTGCCGGACGCTCTTTCAGTGCTTCTTCAGGGTTGGTGAAGATGCAATCGAGTGCCTCTGCTCGCATCTGAGCCACGTGAAAGCAGTCTGCTATAGCAAAGACCTCGCAAGCTACCTCAGGTGTGAGCGCCTTCCGCACAAGACGCAAGCACAAAGGAGGTAATGCCTCTACCTGATACTTGTCTGCTATGGCAGCCACCTCCACCAAAGCAGCGATGGAGCCCCTGACGCTCCCAGAGTACAAGAAGCGCAGGAAGATCTCGACAGCACAAGCCGAGAAGTCTTCAATGACGACCTCCGCCCTCTGCGACTCGACGCAGTTGTCCGATCCTACCATCCTCTCAAAGACAGGAGACCACCGGGCAAGCAAAACAGACCACACTTTGAACTCTGTGCGCTTCACACTCGCCTCAATTTCGATTGAACTCTCGAGCATGTCTGCCGAACGCTCTTCTACAATGACCGTAAAATTGCCGCCGCTATTGCCGAGCACGCAGCCAGCACGCCACTGAGAGAAGTCAGATCCTCCGCCGTCTCCGCCATGATCCCAAATGAAGCAGGGCTACTGCAGCCAGAGAATCTCGAGCTCAGGAATTCCGCAACGAAACATATTTAAAAGGGTTTAGGGGTTTGGGGTTTAGGGGTTTAGGGGTTTAGGGTTTACATCGCAAGTCGTCACCGGTGACACGGACATGTATAGTATCGTCAAACCATGTACCGGAAATGCTCCGAAACCTTGGCAAAGCAAACCAGCGAAAAGTACACAAGCACAACAGATGCCTGAACATGGCGTTTTGCAATGCCCCTCAGTGAAGAAGCGCCTGGTAACTCCCAGCCCACGCCCTGAACCCAAGCGCCCTGTCGGATGCCTAGGGTTTACTTAGCGGCCCAGGGGACTAAGTAAGTCGGTTAAAAGTAGGGTTATAATTGGGGTAACTCCATTTAGGGTACTTTATAACCTAACTACTCAGTTTTGTGGAGCCTGCTTCAGGGTTTAGGGCTATTCTTAAACCCAAGCCTTTCAAAGACATGGCTATGCTGCTTGAACAAGTTTGTGTGCCTACCCATGGCGTGGCGCCTACAGCCTACAAGCCATGCTCTGCGTAACAGAGGCCCGGACCACATGTGCATCATCCCTCTTATTAATCGCCGCACCAAAACACCAAATCAACGAATCGAACACCTGAAATGCCGATCAAACCGACAACAACAGCCGCGCAAATCATCGAGCACCTAAGCTGAAGCAGAAGCCGCTAACCCAGATCAACGGAATCCACAGCTGAGGACATCTGCCTTCCTTTTCCTGCCCAGAAATGTGGTTTAGGGGTTTAGGGTTTAGGGTCCAGGCTTTAGGGGTTCACATGACCGTGAAGTGACTTAGAACCTCAAAGAGACGGTCGCTGTCCTCTAAAGGAAGGCCTACCAGCGGGCTTCATGTTCGGTTTGGGGCGGGTCGGGTTGCATAGACCCCCAACCCTAAACCCTAAAACCTAATGATCAGACGTCCGGCCTTCGTCCTCAGCATTTGCGCTGAGAAAACACACCTTTGGGGCAAAGAGTACCCCAAAGCGGTTCGAGAATCCCTGCTGTGTGTTCAAGCCCTATTGCGTAGGGAACCCCACCCAAAACCTCCAAATTGTCGCATGAGCGAACAGTCGATGTCTGTAAAGATCAACACATCACAGAAGCTCCTAAAGTGGAGTTCACTTTTCGTGATTGCCGATGTACATGACGATTCTTCATACAGAGTTAGGAGTCTCCGCCTGCAAGGCTTACAGACTGAAATTTCAGTGTCGTGCAAGTTTACCTAGAGAGGCTTTTAAAGAGTTTGGAGGCTCTGCACGCGGGGTTCGGGGCTGCGCTTTTTTGGGGCTTGAAGTTCGAGTTTACATCTCATGCTATAGGAGTCTGAGGTCTCCCAGAGTCCCGGAAGGATCCAGAAAGTAGACGGTTTAGGGTTTAGGGTTTAGGGTTCCTGTAAAGTTGCACTGTAAAGTACCCCTTATTAGTCTTATAGGGTCCCAAACTAGTTAGGGGATCTACTTTCTAGATCCTTCCGTTGGTCTAGGCTAGGCTGTTCAAGGTCCCTCCCCTAAACCCTAAACCCTAAACCCCAAACCCTAAACCCTAAACCCTAAACCCTAAACCCTAAACCCTAAACCCTACACTTGCAG